TATTGCTCCTTGACTAGGCTTGTGGTAGCTAGTTGTAGGGTCTGGTCTGTAACTGTAGTCATCTTAGCGATGGATCCCATGGTTCGCTCGAGAAGAGGAGCCTCCGCGCAAGGTGAGCCAGAGACAGAGGCTACGGGTGCTCAGTTAGAGCGTGATTATCAGACAGCCTTGGGTCAAGCAGACCCGGGAATGAATCCTCGGGAAGTTGTGACTTCTGTGGTTCCGGGAGAAGCGTCGCCCGGTACTTTAGAGCAGGGCGGAGCTGGAGGCGGAGTCGAATCTTTGCCTTTGCCCACGGCCAGTCCTTTTCATAGTGAGAGAGTACGTGACCAGGTTGAGCTTCTTCGTAAGAGACCGGCTGACTTGGATTATGAGCAGGCGAGAGTAGAAGCTGAGCGGTTGGGTCCTAGTGGCGTTCTGGAGCCTGATTACTCTACTGCTTTTGGCACCAATCCTGACGTGGGCCCGAGGGTAGCTCGGGTGGAGGCTGTTGGGCCTTCAGTTGGAACGGCTTCGGAGGCAGCTGTAACGGGGTCTGGGAGTGGACCGATTCCTGGAGTGAGGCCGGTCCCGGTAGACAAAGCTGGGCCGGAATCTGGATTGCAATCTGGTATCATAGAAGGGGTATTTACTTCACCTGAAGATGATACTCCGGAGTTGTTGCCGGACAATGACAGAACTGCGAGGCTGGAGCAAGTGGTCTCGCAGCTTGTTGAGGAAAACAGGTCCTTGAGACGGCGAGTGGAGCAGGCAGAGTGGCGCTCTCACTCAAGTTATCACAGTGGAACACCGGGTGAAGCCGCTATGACGTCGCCGGTTTCCTTCGCTGTGAATGAGGGCCATGCAGCTTTTCGACCGTTCTCACCCAGTCAGGACTTGAGTAGATATGTTGTAAATCCGCCTATGGGCCTGAGTAGTGGCTTTGCTGGCTTCCAGGGTCCCGCAAGACTTGAAGGTTTGGATGCTATGGTCGGTGAAGTTGATCAGAGTCAGCAGCACTCCCAGATTGGAGCAAGGCCCCTAGATCAGGCTAGAGTCCCCAACCAAGCCCTTCTAAGCATTGAGGATAGGTCTAGGGGCTACGGTGTAAGCGAGGTTGCCTCTGTCCCAAGGCCCCCAGTGCCTGTAGCTCCTCCTCCTGGTCCTGTGGGGATGGCAGGTGGTTATGGAGTAGGCTTAGATGGAGATAGGACTCAGACGATGAGGGAGTTCACTAGCAGTGTTGCCCAGTCTGGAGCCGGAACTCAAGGTGGATCGGGTTATTTTACTCCAAGGTCTGGGGGTATTGGCGCTGGTGGGTTTGATGCTCATGGGTATCCTGTTTCGCCTGGTGGTACCGTCATAAGGCCACCTCCTGGTCCCCCTCCGTTATCCCCTAGAGGTGTAAGGGGTGGCTATGGTGGGTTTCCGGGTACGGTTGGGGTGCTTGATGCGGGTAATGGCCTAGGAATCCAACCGTGCCTGGAGTCCGGTAGAGGGGTGGACAACAAGCCTGAAGAGCCTGCTAAGTATATTAGTGAGATTCCCAAGCTTGCTCAGGTTGAGTTAGCTAGCTCAGCTGTCGTTTGTGGAAATTGGTGGGCTCAGGTACGACAGATCTTCCAGGGGTTATCTCCCTCGGCGGATGTTTGGTTTAGTGCTGTAGAGCGGGCTGCAAATCAGGGTTATGCTAGGTGGCTAGTTGCCGATCCTTTGGGGAGGCTTTCGATAGATCCAGGGTCGGTTGTGGCGGTGTATGACCATCAGAGGTTTCAGCGGGTTGAATCGAGGGCGGTTACCCTTCTCCTGGCTTCTTTGCCGAGTTCGTTTAGAGAGGATTTGGTGATGAATAGGTGGTTGAGTAGTGCTTCCATATTGTTCAGGGTACTTTGCGTATGGCAGCCTGGTGGGAGTAATGAACGTGCCCACCTTTTGGCGCAACTTGTACAGCCAGAGAGTTGTAAGGGTTATCGCGAGGCCTTGCCGATTCTCCGCAAGTGGCATCAAAATCTCCAGCGTGCCCATGAGATTCAAGCAACGCTTCCTGACCCTAGTTTGCTTCTTCGGGGAATAGACCAGGCCACGACCGGTGTACTGGCGATGAGCCCGATGATTGCCTTCCGAGTTAATGCTTACAGGCACTCCTCAGGGCTTGATTACAATCCGTCGGTGCACGGGGTTGCGCAACTCGTCCGGCTCATCCAGTCAGAGTGTGAGGCAGCTTCCATTGGAGCGGAGTCCAACGGGGATAAGCGTGCACGGGCCGCAGCTGCGCAAGCGAAAGAGCCTCCTCTCGTTAAGCCTTCTGTCCCTCAGCCTCCTAGTCCACCGAATCCAAGCGTAGCTGCGGTGAATGCGGGGGCTGAAGGTAAGGATGGT